GAAGACTATATAAAATACACACAATTTTCTTGAGACGACCTTATTGGCCAAAAGCCTGTTGTTCAGAAAAGTTGCTCACCTACCACATCAGAGGTGGCAGCTTTTCTGACGACTGTCTTGTCACCTTTTCATATCGCAGTCTTGTAGGGACCAGGTCCCTTGCAATGTTCTTTGGAAGTTCTTGAAAAGGCTTTCTGGCTCTCTTTCTTTTTTTAATGAATGAATTTGATATGTTGTTTGTCATGTTGAAAATATCAATCATAAAGACGTATTAACCATTGGACAAACAACCTCGTCCATTCTGATTGGTGTGGTACAATAACGACCTCACCAACCTCTGACGCGACAGATTTCCAGTTGTATCCCATTATACATCTGATCGAGAGAATTCTACCAGGGACCGGGTCCCTACAATTAAGAGCCACTGAAACAGAAAATCTCGTCCGCTCTTCCTATTGGTGTAGTACACTGCACTTTTCACCTACCACCTGACATGACAGCTTTACAATTGTACCCCATGATGAATATTGACGAGAGCACTCAGTCAGGGACCGGGTCCCTGCATTTGTGAGGATCATCAAAACACTTAGAATATAACATTTTCCTCTTTTTTGATGATGATGCACAAATGTTCCTCACATAGAGTCTATTCATTCATTTGCCCTATCATTAGTCCCGATAACAAGGATCTGGTCCCTTGTTAGATCTATAAGTTTGTTAAATCATCAAAACTTAACATTATCTCCAAAATAACATTTTGCCCCTTTTTTTTATGATAACACACTTATTTACCAGTTCCCCCTTTCGCCAGTTCCCCCTATCAATAAGACTCTTCAGGTAACTGGATCGATCCCAAGTTTGTCAAATCATCAAAACTTCTCATCATCAACAAAATAACATTTTCCCCCTTTTTAATGATGACAAACTTGTTCAACAATTCTTCCTCTTATCAGTAGCATGACCATGTCTTTTTCAGGTAGCATTGATTCCCCCTATCATGGATTCCCCCTACCGTCATGACCATGTCCTCTTTAAGTATCTCTTCAAGTAATTAAATCATTGATCTCATACCTTAGCAATTTTCATCCTTTTGACATCATAAAAAAGGGTTCAAGTAGTAAACCAAGTTGACAGAAATGCAGTTCAAGTAAATTCATGGCCACTTGGGCAACACTGAGCATGAGTAAAATTGTATAAAGTAATGAGACAAGTCATTAGAAACAAGGCACTTTTCATTCATAAATAAAAGATCAGCAATCAAAGCATTACAGATATCATTATGAATGAGAACCATGAAAATACCCACTGAGTTTCAATAGAAAAAGAGGAGGACTGACAAGGGAATTTAGGAAGAGAGGGGATGGCTTAGAAGCAAGGGATATAAAGAATATAATTAGTAGAACATATCCCTTAGCATGGTTTTTAGAAGCTTCTCTTAAAGTTCAGCATGCTTTGCTACCAACCTTCAGGGCCGCTAGTTTTTTTTTCCAACTTGATCCCTCTAATTGTTCCTCCAGAAGCTAAGCCTTCAAACAAATATTTTAGTATCCCTGTTAGCAACAACATCTGTCATAGCTTTCATATCATGCCTGAGTTTCTCATGATAGAAAGATTAGTAAGAATAAACTTACTCAGGGCATCCGAGATGAACAGATCAATAATTGAGGAACCATTTCAATAAAAAAAAATCATTTTCATTATAATTTTTTTTAAAGTCAGACACCCTTCTATTCATTATACTTTAAGTTCTCAGAATGTCAACCTTTTCCTTTTTGAATGTCATCATTTCACCTTCTTTCTTTTTGCTTGATAAACCTGGTCCCTCTTCACACTCAAAAAAAATTTTATTGAAAAATTCTCCAATAGGAACAACGGTTTAACATTTGAAGGTTCTTGAGAGAGAGGAGAAAAGAGGGTTTTGAAATTTTTTAATTTTAGAAAGGGAATTTGAATTTTCTGGGGAGATGGAAAGAAATATGGAGTACAAGGGAAGTGGAAGAGTGTATCCTGTGGAAGCAAGTGTCATATTGGTATTCAAAAGATGGCACAACGATCAGACATGTGGCAATTGCAACGGCTCTCATGCATAATTCAAAATGTAATGTTAAGAGTGCTAACCTTCGAAAACGGACCAGTTCCCTCTCTCTAGGTTGAATGTGATTGCCTGGATCTGTCCTGACCTCCCTTTTCCTATAGCCCTTTTTCCATGTGTGTATACCTACAAAAGGTATAAGACTAAATTTACTAAAACATACATAACTGAAAAGCAAGGATACCTGCTCCCTTTGCATAGTCATGAGAGAGTTGATTGCTTCAGGATCCATTCAAAAATGTTTCATCATCCCCAACTTCAATTTGTTTATCTTGACCAGGTCTCTCATCGGAGCTTTTGTGAAGATATTGGTGATTTGATCTTTGTTCTTACAAAATTACAAGCTGATATTTCCTTTCTCAACATGATCCCTCAGAAAGTGATGTCTCACATCAATATGCTTAGTCCTTTTATGATGGACTGAGTTCTTGGCCATAGTGAGAGCACTTGTGATAACACATAAGATAGAGATAGCCTGAGGAGCCACTCTAAGAACTTCACGCTGATGTTTGATCCATAAGAGTTAACCACACCATCCTGCATCTGCTACATACCTTGCCTCAGTTGTTGAAAGAGCAACAAAATCTTGTCTTTTATTCCCTATGAATGAGATATGAACCCAGAAAATGAGACATTCCTGCTCTTTCTATCAGCTTGATACCCAGCAAAATCAGCATCACCATATTTCTTCAATCAACACAAAATCTCTTGATGGATAGAGTAGAACCAGGTCATTGTCTTCATCAAATGTCTTAGGATTCTCTTAGTAGCCTTCAAAAGTGATTCTGTTGGACAAGCTTGGAATTTTGGATAAATCCTAACACTTGTATCATTTACATCTGGACCATATCTATCAACATCCAGCATCGAGTTGGTCCCATGGGAGTATCAATAGACTTGGTATCCATGATATAAAACTTCTTCAGTAGCTTCTCTGAGCTAGAACCAGGTCCCTGTTCTTGACAAACTGGTACATGCTTAGGGATTTGGTGAAGATGTCAGCCACTTGATCTTCCATTTTGAAAAGCTTCATGATAACATTACCCCTCTTAACATTGTCTTGACTTCAAGTATGTTAAGCCCTTTGAGCATCTCCTTTATGGACTTTTCTTGACAGTCGAGGGTACCTTTAGAGGTTTGATTGATCTGTAGCTTTAAGAACAAATCTCTCATCGTGCTCATTTAGAACTCGCTACCAATGAATGTGGAAACCTCTTCACATAACGCCTCAAAAGTTGCTTCATAGATGATATCATTGATATATACTTGAGTAATCAGCAAGTCTTTTCCTTTTTGATTTCAAGAAGAGAAATTTGTCAATTATACCTCTTTTGAAACCATTGTGGAAGAGGAATTTGGACAACTTATCAGCCTATTAGGAATCGAGTGATATACTTTGAACTGCATCATTTTGTTCAGCATTGTCTACAGAACCAGGTCCCTCATCAGGTTGACCATCCGCATCAGCTTCTTTGGGATTACTGGATTCATGAAGAGAATATTATTCAACAAACTCACTGTTTAGACCATCTCTCTGAATCTTAAGCAACTCTTCCATCTCAAAATCTTCTAGACTCACCAAAACACATATGAACATCCTTTCAATGCACACATTTTTATATATCGGATAATCCTTGTTGGAGGAAGAACATCCCACAAATACTCTTTCAACATCACTGAGATCAAACTTCTCAATATCATCATTTTTGTCACAGAATATGCACTATTCACCACTTCAACCGGAACGTTCTTTGGAAGATTAACAACCTGTTTATTCCACTTGAAGGATGGTCTGATTTGCTTCTCTTTAACACAAGCATCACAAACTTTGTCATCTACAAATTTGATGTTGGGCAGACCGTGGACCAGGTCCTTTGACACAAGTTTGTTCAGAAAGAACAGCTCACATGACCAAGTCTCGTGTGTCATAGATTAGTATTCTCACCTTGAGCATCAAGAAAAGTGAAGTTGTTACTACGAGTGGTGTTCAGATCAGCAACATACATGTTCTTGCATCTCTTTTGTGTCAAGATCATCACCTAAGCGAGTAAGTTTGTGACAACACATTCATCTGATAAGAACTTAACTTTATTTCGTTCATAACAAATCTGTGAAACACTTGAAGGATTGTACTTCAACCATTGACATAGTACACATCCTCAAGATGTGTTCCATAGACTTCCAACCATCCATGCACCAAGAATATACCTTTTCTTGCCATCGCCAAATGAGACACCTCCACCTTGAAGTGCCTTGAGAGAGGAAGCTTTAAGTTTTTCCAGTCGCGTGCTTTGAGCATCCGCTATTAATGAACCAACACGGACTGCTGCTACTTTCTCTCACCTGCATACCATATCACTTGTTGTCCTTGGGAACCCATTTCAGTCTGAGTCCCCAGTAAACAGATAGAGCCATGATAAGTGAACTTTTTGATCAATGAGGCAGAACAATATTTCTCATTTTGGGAGTTCTGACAGTGGGAGGAGGTCCCTTTTTCTGTGCAGCTTTCTGTCTGGTGTAGGAAGAAAGGTTTTCTTGAGACCTTTTAAAGGCTAGACAATCCTTCTTCAGATGACCATTGCGGCCACAATGAAGGCACAACAGATTGTCAGATACAAACATATACTTACTGTGAGGATTATAAGGAGGATTAATGTTTAGACTTCCTAACCCTTATCCACTTCTTTGGCCCTGACTAGTAATACTAGAGAGTAGCTTAGAAGAACTTGCCCATATCATAGATTTTTCTAGTTCTTCTCTAAGCCGGACTAGGTCTCTCTATCTGATTATATCTAGACTGTTGTTCATCGAGTCCTTTTCAGTTTTTGACTCATTAATAAAGTCAATCAACACAGCAGCCAGATTTCTCAACTTTCTGACAGAGTACACATTCATGTTTTGTTTAAGGTTAGAAAGGGTTTTCATCATCAGATTTTTCCATGAAGGCAAATATGGCATCAAACCCATCTTCATCTTCTTTAACAGCGAACATTGATGAATCTTCATGATGTTCTGACTCCCCTGATTCACTCGAGGAATCATCCAAGATAGGAAGCATTTTCTTTACGACATAGTGAGCTGCAGTTTTTCTCCTTTTATTATCAGGGATCGAGTCCCTTTTCTTGCATTTATCTCCTCTATGGCTTGGGTAGTCTTTGTGTTCGACCTTATGCATGGGGCAATCTCTGATGAAATGCCCTGGCTTTCCACACTTGTGGCATAGGTAGTTTGCATTTGCAGCTCTGTTTGAGTTTCCTGCCTTTCGTAAACCTCTATGTTTCCTCACTATTTTTGAAACCTTCTTGAGAGGTATGACATGTCCTCATCTTCATCATAACTTTCATTAAATGTCACCTTGAGAGCTAGAGACTTGTATTTCTTCAACTCCTTCTTTGACACTTCTTGATTTCTATTCAGTGGAGCAACCATCATTCCACATGAATCTCTCTTGGTGTTAACCAGCTAGAGAACACTTGTTCTGATACCAATTGTTAAGATGTATGCGTCCACTATCAGTCAATGGACCAGGTCCCTTGACTCAACAAGAACAGTAATAAAGAGTAGGCAATAAACAGAAGACAACACAAACAGTTTACGTGGAATCCTCCTTGCTCAAGGGAGTAAAACCACGACCTGTCATATAGGATTTTCAACTGTTTTCACTAATCTCTTCAAGCAAAAGTGAAACACAGTTACATCCAAAGTGACAAGAAGTTATTAATCTCACAACTAATTAATAACTCTATTACTTACTGAGCTTAAGCAGATACCACACTGCCCACTAAGCTATCAACCCTAGATAACTTAGAATTCAACTAAGCAGTTACTACACTGCCCACTAAATCAACTAGCTCCTAGATGACTTGGAATTTGACTAAGCAGATACAACACTGCCCACTAAATCAGTTAAGTCTAACCGATTTAGACTTTTACACACCGAACAAAAGATCTAAATCTTTTATAGATTAGGAACAAGTTTACAATGTAAGCACATAAGATATAATCCTAAGACAACTAGACATCTTGCAGCTCTATCAGGTCCCTGTTGCTCTTAAGGATGATACTTCTTGAAAGTGGGTCTTTGCAAGTGTTCTTGAGAATTTTCAAGTTGCAAAAACTGAGGATCTGTTTTTTAAATGAACGTTATAAAATGATAGACACAAAAGTCAAACTTAACAAAGATGTTTCAGCACTCTATCAGATCCATTTGTTGAGCATGAGTATTGTTCTTCCTTGAAATGACCTTTTCTTTTTGAGCTTATGAATTTTCAGAAATTCACAACTTTGTTTGCCAAATCTTGAGTTTGTGTTTTGGTGAGCAGACTATATAAAATACACACAAACTTCTTGAGACGACCTTATTGGCCAAAAGTCTGTTGTTCAGAAAAGTTGCTCACCTACCACATCAGAGGTGGTAGCTTTTCTGACGGCTGTCTTGTCACCTTTTCATATCGCAGTCTTGTAGGGACCAGGTCCCTTGCAATGTTTTTTGGGAGTTCTTGAAAAGGCTTGCTGGCTCTCTTCCTCTTTTTAGTGAATGAATTTGATATATTGTTTGTCATGTTGAAAATATCAATCATAAAGATGTATTAACCGCTGGACAAACAACCTCGTCCATTCTGATTGGTGTGGTACACTAACGACCTCACCAACTCTGACGCGACAGCTTTCCAGCTGTATCCCATTATACATCTGATGGAGAGAACTCTGCCAGGGACCGAGTCCCTACAATTGTGAGCCACTAAAATAGAAAATCTCATCCGCTCTTCCTATTGGTGTAGTACACTTCACCTTTCACCTACCACCTGACATGACAACTTTACAGTTGTACTCCATGATGAATATAGACGAGAGCACTCTGCCAGGGACCGGGTCCCTGCATTTGTGAGGATCATCAAAACATCTAGAATATAATAGTATGTTTCTCCTATGGTATGATGATTTATGACTTATGCTTTCACAATGTATTCATGATGAGTTTCGAACTTGGCAAATGGCATACTTTCAACTAAAATGTCTCTTTTTGCATGTTTTCATGATTTTACACATGGCTATCATTCTTAGTGCATTTTTATGCTAACCCATATTTTCCTACATTTTCCCCAAGTGTAGGGTCCGGTTCTCAAGGTGGTCCCCATCGTGGCTAGAGCTTGGATATGTTCATTTCTCCTTGCTTGTGGTGAGTCCTCATTGTTCGAGGGCGGATGATATATTTGTAGTTTCCTTTTTCTTGTATTTGACTTTCGGATTATGTTGTAAGGGCTGTGACTCTATTTGATTCAAGTATTGTAATAGATGGCTAAATGAGACAAGTCTAGACTTCCGCTTTCCTTTATGAAAATTTTGGAATAGAAATGCATTTTTTTACTCTTTATTGTTGTATGCTTATGTTGTGATATGCTAAGTGTCTTACATGGTTCCTTTCGGGGTTCTATGTGTCTTGTTACGTCTAGGGGGTACCCTTGGGTCATGATAGTGGTCTAAATGACATATGAGCTGAGATATATGAGGAAGTTGAGTGTCAAACAATGTCAAACCTGAAAATTAAAAGGGAAGCACTGACAATAGCAATAAAAAAATGTCTTGTGGCTAGTGAATTAGTATCATTGACAATGGATGATTTTGAGTTAGAGGACTTGTTGAGGCATAATTTATTCTAAATAATTTGTTCTTCCTATTTTATTTTATCAAACTCCAAGAGATGTGCTTTTGAATTTTCGTCAACTTTATCAGTATATAACTAATTCAATAAGAGGCATAACTTTTGTATTATGTAGGCAAGAGACCTTGTATAATAGAAAACACTAGAAATTGATGAATAAAATGTTTATAGTAATTTTTGTAAAGATAAATATAAGGAATGATAAATATCTTATTCTCTTTGAATAGATCTATTATCCCAGGATTCACATCTAAAGGGATGAAAAAGTTAGAGTAAAATGAACAATCAATAATAAAATGTATTAAGACTTAGAATTAAATTTTTTTGATTGTAGGATTAAAAGACTATTACAATTCGTCTTTGGATAAAATATTCTTGACAATTCAATGTACTCACTTGATAACGAAATCAAATGATCATGGACAAGATTATTGATGTAGGTCACCACAGTGTGAAGCGCGGGTGATATACGTAGTAAGAGTATAAAATATCATATATATGATTTTTTTTATATTATTATAAAACTTCCGATATATGATATTTTAGTATATAATTATAATACCAAAAATCATATTGAATACCAAATTAATTTAAAATGTGTACCAAATACCATAATATTTATGGTGCCATATAGGAAATTTTGATTTCGATATGGCATTCGGTATATATACCATATCATGGTATCCAACCTTTTATAGCGGGAAAACAAAGCCCAAACATCAAACCGGCAACTATAAAACCCTCACAATTCACTTTGTTCTTTCATTCTCTTTTGACATTGAAAACCCAAGCTATCGAAAAATCGTTGAAAAGGAGGCAAAAAGGTATGAATTTAGTATTTCCCCCAAAATCCAGTTTCAGAAAATCGAAATAACTGAAATTATTGCTAATTTTTCATTACAGTTTGTCTAGTTCCGAGGAAGATTTTTTTTCAATTTGGTATTTCTATTGAGGAGAAAGACAAGCTTGTAGCAGAGGTGGTTCGGTATGTATTATTTTAGAGTGAAGAGAGTTCAGGGTGTCCAATAAAGAGGGAGTAGCTAACCTAATTGATCACTGGCAAAAATTATCGTCAAAGAAATCTCCCTGCTTTTGTTATAAATGAGGCAAAATCGAAACTTTCCTCAATTTTTAGCTTTGAAATGAGGGTACTTCAACGATCCCGCTCTTCCGCTACTCAAAACCCTCGCTCATCTCAGCAATGTTTTCTTTTAACTATTCTTCTTATTTTATTGAATGTTCTTTTATTTCAAAATTTTAGTTGGATTAAAACTCCCAATAACGTGTACTGTAGCATGGGACTTTTAGCGTTATGTTATTGGTGGATCAGAAAGAGCTTGGTGTTCATTCACCACCCCCAATATATAAGGAAAAGGCCTCAATGAAGTGGTTGAGAGCCATGAGGTCTTAGGTTCAAATCGCAGATGAGATTCTTCTCATCTGTCCTAACTTTAGTAGACAGAGTTACCTGATAGTACTTGTTGCAGGTGAGAGGTGACAGGTATCTCATGAAATTAGTTGAGATGCGCGAAAGCTAGCCCGAATACTACGATTATAAAAATAAATATAGTGCTGAGTACAAAATTTTGCTCCCTTTCTTTCCTTTCTATTTTTAGTTTCAGAGTAGATAGAGAAGATTTGATCCATTCCTGAGCTTCTACTGGATGTCATACGAGGGTATTCAGTCTTCAAGAAGAAAATGGAAAGCCTCTTCTTGACTTGCAAAACATTAGCCAGGTAAAGGAGGATGGGTTCATTGGCGGACCCAGGATTTTCGTTCAGGGGGTTTGAAAAATAAAAGTCTAAACATGTAAATAAGCCTTTAGAAATAGAAACCTTGAATTCTTTTGGATTTAAAACAAAACTTTTTGCACATTTTTTAAAGTAAAAAAAATTTGAGAAACAGAAATGAAATTTTTAAAAAAAATACTAAAAACAACTGAAACTAAAAAAGAAAAAAAGAAAACGCTTTCACTGGGATTCGATCCGGTGACATACAATTTAGTTTCAAGGGTACTTGCCACTATGCCATCAATTTCTCTTTGTTATTGAGGGGGTTCAAAATATATATATCTATAGAAATGCATAAAATTTACCTTATATATACCGTGTAATTTTTTATCGAGGGGGTTCGGGTGAACCCCCTGGATACAACGTGGGTCCGCCCCTGGATGGGTTGCACTAAGATAATGGACAATGTAACAATAGAAACTACTATTAGGTTACTCAAGATGTACCCATTTAGGAAGGGGATAGATTGCACTCATGTGTGGTGAAATGAGGGTTTTGTTCATATCATCACCCAAGTTCTGGATTTTGTTCTGAAAATTTGTTTCCTATTTAGCCTCAGCATAATGAATTTCAGATTCTTCCATGGGTTCTTCTTCTCTTCAGATCCATTGTTATTGTGACCAAGTGCTACTTCATTTGATCCCTCTTCTGCTTTTGTACCTAAAGCAACAACTACCAGGGCACTGCCACAGTCTTGTTGATAACCATCTTCCATGTTTACTTCAATTTGTACCATTGGTATTTGAATTTTGACCTGGTATAGTATCTGATTCATTCTTAATGTCCAACTCTCAGATGATTTCAAACCAATACCATTTTTTTTCTAATTCTTCAGTCTTGTGAACAGAATACCGCTCACAGTCCACCTCCAGACTTTCATAAGTTTCTTCAAAAAACACATCAAACATGATAGTTCCTGACTCTTCGTTCTCTTGTGTGCTTGATTCCTGTATAGGTTTCCCATCTAACCTCACTG